CCCGGCCAGGGGCAGGCCCGGCCCCATCCCCGCCCGGCCGCATGGCCTGGGCAGGGATGGGAGGCCTGGAGCTCCGCCACCCTCCACAGCCAGGAAACAAAAGAGAACCCCGAGAGCTCTGCTTTTACACTTTAAGGTAGGGTTCACAAGTTGATCCCACTTTTCAATGGCCTAAACTGCTGTCAGTTCCCAGCAATGACCAATAATTGGTCAGGAGAAAAGACTCCAAGCAGTTCCCAGCAACTCCAACTCCCTTAAAGGTAAAGTAACTCCATGACAGTTCATACATGGAATTATGATAGCAGTCTCACAGTAGATCCATAAATGCTTTTGTTGGATCATTCAGTTTAGGAGATTAGCAAATCTAGAGAGAAAGTAATCTTCCATCTGTTATTGGCTGCAAGGTATCCAATTGTAAGCAAAAGGAACTGTGTGTGCTTTGCAGAGTACACAACTTGGGGTGTGTAAGTATCTACAGCATTGGTCTTCATGGTTTTTCTGTTGATTTCAGTCGATTTGGGATCTGCCAGATATTGACAGTAACATCTGCTAGGGGACTTCCTTAAAAAATAAACAATACTTATTAGATTGTTACTGTACCCATTTTTTAAATGTTCTTCCATGCTGCTTCCTAAGTCAGCAATATATTAATGTCCAATGGTAATGCTTTGGCATTTAAATAGAAGACACATGTCTCACAAATGCTGAGAAGCCATGGATTGCATAAAGGACATGGCAGATAGGGATAGAGCTATACTTCAGGCTCTTTAGATGTTAATGGAGGCTACTGTTTCAGCACCTCTGGAAACCAGGCCACTTGAATACTGATAATAGCTGTGACTAGGCATGGCAAACAGGGTAAGAGTACACATCAAGCATGACTGGAGAACATCCTTGTGTTTCTGCCAACGCCCTGCTGATACCTGCTACTGGCACTGTAGGGTGCTTTATGGACTGTAAATATTAAAAAAAATCAAACAGCATGTAGAACATTCAATGTACCGGGTAATGGCAAAAAGAAGTTGAGGAGGAAGGGAGGTTCAGCAGATTTATCTGGTGGAGTCAGACCAGACATCCACTTATTAATATCTACATTAGAATTCACAGCTTTTTTTTTTTTTTTTTGTAAATCTACATTTTCTCAATTCATTCCATGGTCAGAATACAGCTATTTTTGTATTCTTGACAGATCTTACTTGTTGCATCATAAACTGATTTGCTAACAAGAATGTTGAAATATGCTCCTGTACTTTAAATTTCTCTTTGATTGGGTAACAAAATGTCATAAAGAGAGGTGAAATGTTCAGCTGATCAGGAGACACTATAACCTTAGGCTCGATATGTAATGATGGTTCTTTCTTGGCATTCCTCTGAATGTGCTGCACTATCCCACCACACCTGTTAGCACAACGTCAGCTGGAAAATTCAGACCAGCCAAGTTCATCTATGCCCTCTTTAAAGCCACAAGGTTCAAGTGCTTTCGTGTTTCAGACTGTGTTAGTTCAGTCTGTCCCAAATCAAATACCTTGTAAACAAGGCTAATCTCAGAGAAGGCAGTCCATGTGCACCAAAGCCCTAAGAAACTGCTTACCTGGAGTATTTATTTATAGAGCACTAATCACCATGGTGGCCAGCGCTGTCCCCATCCACATTTGCAGCACAGTGGTGAGCTGATGTGCTCTTGGTTTCAGGGAGGGGGTGCTCCAGCCTTTCCCTGCTGGCCCAGGAGAACCATAGCTCAGGTAATTCTGCAGGGCTTGGAGAGAGTGGCTGTAGCAGTGCTACAGAACTGGGTTGACTTTGGGAGTTTTTACTTGTTTCTCACGTAGCACTAGCGCTCACCAATCCTACAGAGGAAGGACACTTACAAAGAGAAATCTATGTGAAGAAAAGAGATGAAGTTAACATGTGAAATTCTGTAAATTTGACCTTTACTCAATTGTTTAGTAGCATAAAACATAGGAAGGGCTGAATTCTTAAAAATTGGGAAAATTATGTGTCTTCCTTGTCAATGAGTAAATATTTTGAGAACGTGCAAGGTCTTGGCTCATTGGTGTGGTCCTAAAGTTACCATGTAGAAAATTTGTGAAGGTTTTGTGGTGACTTGTGCTGTAGTTAACACAAATGGCAATTTTCTGCTTGTTCTTTCTTCCGGTTTGCTTCATTTGTCCTGGCCTTGTTGTCACTACTTAAACTCATCATAATTTTTTGAACTCGGGGCTAAGCAATAGAACTGTATTGTGACCTCCTCAATGGCATTAAAGTCACTGGAGGTAGAGTCAAATACAAGTGGCAATCTTTTCCTCATAGCAAGATTTGGAGGGCAACTCTAGACATGGACAGATTTCTCTTGAGAAGGGGCGTGTCCAGGGATGCCAGAAGCAATCGGCTTATTCCACAAATAAGAGATTTGTTGATCCCATTTAAATGAAAAAGTGGTATGTTTTTACATGCAACCAATAAAACATTAACTGAGGCAGAATTGCTTCTTCTGTCAGCTCCAGTGCAAGCCTGACGTGTGCCTGAAGGAAAAAGACCCTCTATTTGTTAAATCTGCCTTCTGTGTTTCCATGTGTGTGACACACCTGTGAATTTCCACCTGCAGGTCACACTCTCATTTCAAACTGAAGTGCCAAGCGCGTCTCTGTGAGATGTGGACAGCATTTTGTACAGAAGAAGTCTGTGAAGGCAGCACAGACCCAGACCGGTCCTTTGTTTTGGGCTGGCCCACCACAAACTGTGTGGCAAATTTCAGGTAAGAATTGGATGTATTTTATTTAACAAGTTATGTAAATGTTTCCAGGCTGACAGGTAATGAGACTGTCACAGATTCATTTCAGCACCAGTGAATGTGGGGAGCAGGGACTTGCTGATTCTTAAACCAGTTCCTTCTACTGCTCAGAGCAAGTTCCCCTCCATACCTCATTTTCCATCTCGCTTATCATTTTAAAAATTGAGAAAATATGTGATTTGGCGAGGCACTTTTGTGCTGCAAACTTGCTTAGCAGAAATTACCTGGTTTTTGTGTAACTTGACAAGCACCTTGGCTAATTAATGAGATGAACTACAAATATTAAACAGCCAAGCTAATGAAAGGATCAAAGACACTCTGGTAAGACAGTTTTAAACAGAAGGCCATGTATTGCAAGTAGCAGGAAGCACACAGAGAAATACTGATTTTGTCCTATTTCTCTTTTCGATTTAATTGTGCCAGAGAAAATGTCAAAATTCCTCTTAAAGCCAAATCTCTGAATTTTAATAGAGAGAAAAAAAATTTTCTCTGTCTTTACAGCATTGACTGTAAGACACATAAGGGCTGTAGAGGTAATTTCAATGATTAGGATAATTTTAGTCTCAGCAGGAGGGCTCTTTCGTCACTTTGGATGAGGGAGGGCACCATCCCCCTGAAATCCCAGCTGCTTAGCCACATTAATTTGCCTGAGTCTTGGAAAAGGCATTTTCTTCTTTATCAACACAGAGCAAAAGCTGAAGTATCTGGCTTAATTTCTGTGTCCCATTGTCCATACCTAAGGACAATGTTGTCTGCAAACTGCACTCTCTTGAGCTGGTTGTGCTGTTTATGTTTTTTACACTTAATAGTCCTGAGACAGAGATTAAATTTTCTGTTGATTTTCAATTGAAATCTTGCCAATAAACAGGAGCTTTGATCTAAAGACAGTATGTGATCCTTTATAGATAACTGAAAGTAGTTGAATAGAAAAGCAATAGCTTCAGTCAAAAAGAGATGGAGATTTTATAGAAATGAAATTATTTGATGTCTGGAGGTACACAGAAAAATCTGAAGTGCCATGCATGAGTGCACAGATGTCTGTCCAGCAGAACTAAAACAACCAAATCCAGAATCATATTTGTAACATTTAAAAAATGCGTTTCCCTCGCACTGAGTAGGTTTGTAGTTCCCTAAATGCGGAAATTTGAAAAACTTGATTTGCAAAAGCAGCAGTGGGAATAGCAGTTACATCTGGGACAGGATTTAAATCAAAAAAGTTGAAGCAAAATTAGGTTAGATTCCTTGAACTGTCATATTATTAGCTATGTTTTACTGGACAGCTTTGTATCCTTCAAAGTATATACATGAGATAAAGATAAATGAGATAAGCATCAAAATGTCTAAAGTTAAACCCTACTAAGTAAAACGGGCTTATATATGCTTTGTGATGTGCTGATAAAACAAGTAATAAATAAGATAATTAGAATAGTGAAAGTGGAAAGAAATCTGTGTACCTGAGGAAATGCCTTTAAAATTTTGAATTAAACTCTTTTTTTTAAAGTACCCTCCTTTTCTAGTTGGACATTTCTTTAAGAACTCAACACATTTCCTACTGAGATCACTGGTGAAGCTTTACCTTCTGTGGCAAAAACTGGTAACTGGGGTTTTTGATCTCCCTGACAGTCTTTTCAGTTGACTTTGCAGAGAAGCAGACTTTTCTTTCAAATCTGGATAAACCTTTTAGTTTTTGTAGGTATTTATGTAATTGCAAACAAGAAACAGTCCATTCCATTGTGGTTTGTACAAAGGCTATGTTGGTATTAGAATGATGGCTGATTTGTCCTGTTTTTTCTTTAATTCTTTTAGGTCTGCAGAACAAAAGGAAACATGGCTGTCTTTTTTGCAAAGGTACTTTATTATATGGTCTTTAAAGACACTGGAAAGAGTCTTGGTCTAGACCAGTGATTCCCCCAAGCTGTGGTGCCTCTGCCTTTATGACAGACAAGCTCTTTCAAAGTGATATGAAGAAAAAAAATCTTATATCTTCTCCCTCAGAAGATGTTGTTTGTTTTCATGCAACAATCCCTGTGCAAGGAGGGAATTGCTTCTCTGTGCTCAGCAGAGAGCTGGAGCAATTCCTATCACACATTGATCCTTCCCAACACAGCAGCAGGAGCCTCTGCCACTGTGGCTCAAGTTGAGCCTGGAGCTCTTTCCATGGAGGTGGCATTCAAGCAAGCCCAGCTCAGAAACCTCTGCTCTAACCTGTCTGCTGCTCAAGGCTGGCTGTACTTTGCTCTGAAAAAACATGCCCAAAGCTGGAGGGTAAGGTGGGAGGGTTTGCATAAATGGAGCTGTCTTATTTCATTCAGTTTTTGGACAGAAAACTTCTAGTGATGGTTCTGTTTTCTGGTCGCCCAGTTCTTCTGGTTGAGGCTTGTGTCGTTACCTGATTCTTCAGAGTACCTGGGTTGTTTAAATCATCCTTGCTGGGATGATTTCCAGTTCACTGTTCTCCTGTTCAGTCCTTTGAACTAGTCTGTACTGATGTAACTGACTCCAGTAGGAGTCTGTAGTGCAGACTGAGGCATCACAATAGTGGGTAGTTTTAGCTTGATTTTTTCCTATTCTCTTTCTCTGCTGCCTACTCTGATTTCTGCCATGAGCTTCACTACAAGAGGGCATTACTGGGGGCCACACTCAGCATCTCTTCCAGATACTGCTGGATGCTTTCTCGTCCTCAGAGACGTTTGTACTGCAGTACATCTGCAAACAATCTCCTTCTTACCAAGTTACTGCTTGATGGCTGTATAAATCTATGTCTTGCTATTTATGTGTGCAATATTAAAAATTTACTTGTTTTGTACTTGTTTTGTCAGTCGAATAAGAGAAGAGAAGGAAAAAGACAATCCTAAAAGCATTCCTCTGACAATAATTGCAAAGGACGTGGGAACTTGTGCATACGTAAGTGTTCTTGAGCTAAACAGGGTTCTAAATCCACATCACCTATGAGTGCTGTTCACCTGCCAATCCTTTGGATATTGAGAGGTTTCCTTTGGTTTACAATCTCCATTAAGGATTCAGCCCCTTGAAAAGTCTTGGCCTAGACAGCCCTGAAATGTTTGTTCTTTGTCTTTAATACATGATTTCCATTTTAAAGGCAGTGTGCTTGGTAAGAAATACTGGTTCTGGCACATGAACTAAAGAATGTACAGTGTGAAGTCCCAAGAAACACCTCTTGCAGAATTTATGCATAAGCATCTCCAGAAATGTCAGTACAATGTCCCTTTGTTTTTTTGCTTGTAAAACTTATCTGATCCCACAGCTGCCGTCATTAAATTCTGCAAAGTTGTGGTTGTTTTATTGTTTATAATGATCTTAAGTCAGTAAAGCAGTGTATAAGAACACCCTGAAATTGCCTTAAGCATGTTAATCATCAAGTAATTATGTCAGTGAATTTATAGATGAAGAGTCGATGGTAAAGAAAAGTCATCCGTAGCATGATTTGTACCTTTTTGACTATATAATTTTTAACCAATTTAAGCTACATTCTCAGATGTAGCCAGTTCCATAGAGATACCCTAGCATTCAGTGATAATCAATCAATCCTTCCCCTGCTTTTTGTCTTTTCTTTCTTACTGTGCTTGTGACATCTGTATTTCAAGCTTAGAATCCTAAGGAGCATGGGCAAGGGCATAAGAAATTTTCACAGAAGTTAGATTTCACTGTGAGTCTTTGCCAAACAACGACTCTCCACTTAGAATTCTGTATTTTCATAAATGTAAGCATAAAGGAGTCTGCCTTTTTTCTTTTTTTATCTCCCAGAAAATAATTATTAAGGTAAACAATGATAGAATTGCCAGGTTGCTAAAACAAATGTTAATAAGTAATACTAGTAATGTTACAGTTCAAATGCAGGACTGTAGATCAAGGTCTGCTCAGGTGTAAAAGTCTATAAATCATACATGCACTCAGGTGTTGCAGTCTTGTACCAGGGTTTGTTGGGGCTTTCTGCACTGTCTTTTCTCCTTAGCTGTAATTAGTTCTTGTGCCATATATAGTCTCTTGATACTGGCAGTCCTATGAACCACAACTGCAGTCTAGATATTATCAGTAATAAAACAGAGGAGGAACAGAACAGATGGAAATTTTGTGATGCACATAGTTCTTACGGTGCTGTGGTTCCTGTGCTACAGCAGCTGGAGATGCCCAAGAATTATTTCATATTTGGACAGTAAGGTAGGCTGAACACAAGGCACAAACTATATTCTAGCCAAGAGCAAAATTTATGTAAATGTGCTGACCTACTCCTGAGAGCCAGATGTCATTGCTTCAGGCAAATGTTAAATTTTTCATGGTATGAACGTTAGATCTGTCCTGAAGCAAGATACACAGTATTCTCATTACTTTCCTTTCATTGCCATGGCAGCTTGTTACTGTCAGGGTCTTACACAAAGGTACAGCTCAGATCTTTTTTAAATGCAAAATGTCAGGGGTTTGTTTCACCTGAACATCTTATGGCCAGCATAAAACTGACGTGCTACACAAGGTGTCAGGGTATTGTAAACTGTCTTGAGACTGGCAGTAAACACCTACATCCCAGCTCTGCTGCCTTCCCTTCTTCGGGCCATCAGGTGGGCCTGGGTAGTTTGTTGCAGTGGGCTTGTCTTTGTTCTGCCAAGGCTTTAGTCTGGCCATGAACCAGCTGCAGTCCACAAGCTGTGTAGTCCTGGTGGCAGAGCCAAGCCAGCCTGTAACAGAGGCTCAGTGGCCTGTGCTTGGTGTGTGGCAGCTGGCTGGGAAGCGAGCTCCCACTTGGTGTGGTGCTGCAAGCGTTGGAGCAACCCACGGAGCTGAGGTACAGAGCACTGCCCAGCAGTACAGGAGCAGCACTGGTGCCAGGCAGCAGGTGCTGAAATCTCACTCTGGAAAGACTGCCTGTGCAAAGTGGCACTTTGGCTGACACAAAGCTTGGCACTTTGTGCTGGTTGCCGTGGCTGGTTAGGCAGTGGGGTCTCTGCTGCTCCGTGCTTTTCCAAACTGCCTATCAGCAGATTCTGGAGGATGCTGGAAAGCTCATGTTTTAACTGGATGGAACATTACCAAGAGGAAGTGCTTCTGGTACTAAGCCAAATCTAGCTTTGAGAAATCTATCTAGAATGTGGGAAAGGTTATGGGGATGAACAGCCTGTGTACAATACTTTCTTACCGTGGAGATCTTCAGTTGAAAAGGACAGAAATTAACAATTGATATCTCACTGAAAAAAAGTCCCTGAAATGTTTCATTTTTCAAAGGAAGCTTCCATGCTTTTAAATTAATAAAGCCATTATGTTTCCCTTATGCAGTGTCTAAAAGTGCAGTTAGTGGTTCTGACTTCTTGCATATTTTAATGTGGAAGTCATGTCCCTGGTAATTGTAATACTCTCTCTTCTGATTGAGCTGTTGGGGAAGCAGGAAGCAAATACAGAAAGTATGTGACAAAGCAAAGGAGCCAAACCTAGGTCTCAGACAGCTGGACCTTTATCTATGTAATATAATTTATTTATCAAGTAAAATTTTAACAGGATCTTCTCATTTTTTCTAACAATGAATTATGCAGTGCTACTGCACTTCAGATACTCTTTGCAAATCCAAACTTTTAATGCCACTTTCCCCTTCTCCTTTTTTCTGTTCACAGTCAAAAACCCTAAGTGTAACCAACGTTGATACAGCAAATGATGTAATTCTGATGGCCCTGCAGCAGCTGGGAATTAATGTAAGTCCTTGCACCAGTTTTAATGAGTCTTTCTTTGTAGTTACTTTTAACAATTGGATTTTCCCTTGCACTTTTTCCAAGTTTTAGGATATGAACATTAATTAAATCCTTTAACATGGTAGTTCAGAGTTGTTGAAATGCAGCAGAAGTGCCTTGTTAACATATAGACCTCCAGAGATTATCAAGTGCCTTAAAAGTTTCAAGCAGGCCTCTCATCCCTGTAAGGGATCAGTCATATTTCAAGTTGCTTTTAAATCTCTTTTGCTGATGCCTAAGAGGAGATATCTTGACACAAGAAGTGAGAGTTTGATAGAGCTCCTTTTGCATTTAATATGAACAAGAAACCCACTGGTCTGCCTGTTAGCTGGTTTCAAAGTGTGCAAGCATGCACGATCAGCTGTGCCCAGATCACACTGCTCTCAAGTGTCCCAGTCAGGTACTGTAAATATCCATGGACCTTTGGAGTTATGTGAGATACGAATGTAACTAAGTGATTGCGTGCAATCTGAATGCACTCAGTTTAAACAGTGAAACTGTTTTGGAAAAAGGCTTTTACAGAACTTATGATAATGCAGGGTAGTGTACCAGATAGATGCAGTGATCCCTGCTAGATCAAGTACTGCCTCAACTGGCTTCCTTTACCCTAAACCAGACTAGGTGGTGCCTCGGGTGTAGTAGAGGATCAGCGCCAGGGACAAGAGTTCTGGCTCTCTCACTGTGTTTCACAGTGTGGCTCCAACCAATACCAGTGGTGATGTAGAAGCTCCTGGATGACAGCTTTTTAACTGGTCTATTAGCTTGCTCTTTGGGTTACGGGATTTTTTAAAATGTTTTACTCGTGACGATCTCATTGCATGGAGTCTGACAAGTCTTTCCTTACCACAGCCCTGAGTGTGAAGAGTCAAATATGATGAGCAAAATGCCACTGTTATGCTTCCCTGGGGCTTCTGGAGACTCACAACAGAAGTTGGAGTAACCTCAGATTTTGCCTTCCCCAGCATCCATTATCTCTAATTTATACAGGCTTTTAATGCAGGAGTCTATTCTGCAAGCTTGGCATTTCCCAGGCACAGCAATTTGTGTCTGCCCATCTTGTTATGGCTCAGACATCTCATTTACACCAGTGCTTGGGCCCTGGCTCAGAATCCAGTAGTCCATTTAATTAAGGAATCTCTGGAGTCGATAGAGGGATTGCAAGGTGAAAAGGATAAAAGGTGGATTAAAATTAGGATTTTAATTGCAGATTGTCTCCCCTGCTCTGCACCAAAACTCAGGAGACTAAATGCTATTACAGCTGCAAGTCTTCATTGTGATGTGCTTCATTTTTACCCATCTTATGGGTGTCATTTGCACCTCCTCACTCTGTGTACAGAAAAAAAACCAGAAAAATAGTAGTATTTAATGAGAACACTTTGTTTGAGATTAGCAGGAGGAGGGGCTGGTTTGGTTTCAGAACTGTGTTCTTTTGTAGTTATCACAATCAACCTTTTCCTCCTCTTTACATTTTTATTTCAAGTGGAAAAAGAATGAAAGCCATCTGAAAGATGTAAAATCTTGCCTGCAGAATTATTTGCTCAAGTAATTTACTACATTTTTTCACTTCTTCTTTATGGCAGAAAGCCTTTTTTTCATTAGAGGCATAAGATTAGCAATAAAATCAAACAAGCTAAATAAATTAAGCTGTAGCCTGCATATCAATCAAACACCCAGCCCCCTGGTAGGATTGTTCTGGCTGTAAGGAAGCTCTGCCTTACACACTGTATTAAGGTTTTTTATTTCTGTCCACAGAGAAACACTTGAAAGGAGCTCCATGACTTTTCAATGGCAATTATAAAAACTACATTTCACATATTGTGTGATTAATGGGGCTATTACTTTGGCTGAGTTCACTCTGGTTTAACACATCAGGGTTTTTTTCCTCTGTGGTTTCTCTGATAAAATGACAGCTAGCTCGTGCAAAATGGCATTGATCATCTGTTCCAAATTACCAAGTGGGGCAGAAGGAAGGGCCTTGGGTTTCCCAGCTTTGTAAGTACACTTGCTGACTTTTCTGGGACAGTCACATTTATCCTGACAAATGGCCTCATAAAGCCATAAAGAACAGCATTTGCAGTCAAAGATGAACAGCCTGCCTGTTGGAACCGTGCTTACTGACTCTTCCTTCCCCCTGCTTCCCCTTCACAGCAACAAACCCTTTCATATATGTATGTGAAAGGAAAAGTAAATACCCTTTCTTGTGCTCTTCAGCTGTATTTATTTGCTCCTGGCTGCTTGCCCTGAGGCATCAGAGATGTCTCCAAAGCCTATTTATTTTCCTTCTGCCCCCTGCTAGCTGACTTAACAGCAGTGCTAATGTGGGCCAGAAAGCTCTGGCAGTCAGAGAGCAAACTGCAAAGGCTTTATTGGGTGTATCAGCATTACATCAGGTGCATGGAGAAAGTAGGAAGAGTCTCAAAAGCCAGGAACACTGGGTGAAGGTCCAGAAAATGCAGGATAGTAGGAAAGTCTGTTTAAAAGGAGGTAGGAATTAACTTCAGATTTAAATAAATGCTGACATGAGGTATTTATCAGTTTTTATAGCTAGAAAACATCTAGATTTTAACAATCCTGATTTAGTAGTGTCACCAGAAAAGGATTTAAGGCAAAATAGATCACTTTTAATGCAGTGTATTTATCCACTTTCTATTTTCTTTTGTACATTTATGCTAAAGGCAATATTTCGAATTTGCTTTAATATGATTTGATTTTAATCAGAGGTTTTCACAGCTTTTCCCAAAAATCATCACATTCCCCAGTCTTTTGAAAATTGTCTCTTGATGTAAATTTATCCTCTCTGCTGTACATTTTAAAGAGGGCTCAGTAGTCTTAAAACACCATCCAGCAGTCCCAGGACCTTCCACATAAGGGCTGCACAGAAAGGCTGACAGCAGCCCTATGACGAAATTTGTGGGGTAGCATTGAGTGTCAGGGGCCTGGGACTGCCATCCTTGTCTTGGCATCATTAGTGTGGGCTCAGGTCTCAGGTGAAGGTGCTCCTGCCCTGTGCTCCAGTGTCAGTCACAGGATGCTGTTGGCTCACCAGCCTGAGCTCCTCCTGCTTAGAGATATAGAAAACCTGGGGAGAGAGTGGAGCAGGGTAGTGAAGTGGGCTCTGACATCATCCCTCTGATGCCAGGAGGCACTTTAGTCTGAGGGAAAGAAGTGGGGGCAAATCTCCCCGTTTTCTTCAGAAATGATGGGCTCCAGCAACTCTCATTGCTCAGAGCTGGACCCAGATCACATAAATCACATTGCACATGACAGACACACTGCAGGAATATTGCTGGTGGCAGGCTTGGGCACTGCAAAAGTAAAGGGGATTCCTTAGACCCTGCTTGCAAGGTGCAGATTATCCTTATATTGTGAGAAACTTTTATGTGAGAGCCTGTCCTTAATGGCTGACAAACTGATTCTTAATTTTGGTTTTAAAGGGCTCTGAAAAAGACTACAAGCTATGGGTGATTTCAGGAAGAGAACATTCTCCTTACCCTCTTATTGGTAAGTTGTTGAAATTGTTTTGATTTTAATATTCACTCGGTCACTACTGCTGTAGGCAGCAAGAATTAGAGAGAAGACTGAAATTCAGTTTCCTCTTTTATTTTGTTATTCCTGTTTTTTCTCTTACTTCCCTATCACGCAAGTTTGCCTATCTTGGGAGTTAGTGAAATGCTGATTCTTTGTTTTGAAGAGCAGTTGTCTGCTTGTGTCACTAAGAGGTTGAGGAAGTTCATTTATTTCTGCCCCAGTTTTGTTGCATGAGCCCCAGTGTTTCTGCAGAGTTGGCCTCTCCAGTCACCTCCTCTTCTGGAGGTTGTCCAGCTCTCCCATATTTCTTCCTCCATAGCATTGTTTACTCCCCTCCTCAGCAAAACTCAGCAGTTTTGACAAATGATCTTTCCTTCCACAACTCAAGTTCACTCATTTAAGGAGTCCTTTTCAATCCTGTATTTCTCGTGCTGGCTGACAGCTCCCCTCTGAGTAGGAGCAAACTAGTGCTTATTAACTTTCTAAAATGCTTTTCAAAACATTTCAGGACCAGGAATCAACACAAATCTCACAAGTGATTGGATGGAGTGATTTGATTTTGGCCCATGATTCACTAAGAACAAATCCCTTTCCATTAGTAAGAACATTTCCCTGTAGAAGCCCAGCATTACTTGTGCTGTATGAGTTTGCAGATGATTAGAACAAGGAAAACTTGTGGATTTTCTGGGTTTTTTCCTCCTGCAAATCTAATCCCAGTAAATTTTAACATTCCTTCTCAAAGCAGCCTTAGCTACAAATGCTTCTCTGGAGTCAGACAACACTAATATTTATAAATGTCTAACTTGTGCACCTTATAGAGAGTGCATACTGTTTTGCCTTTTAAACATACCAGACTTTGAGTTTCTGACCATTATTGTATCTTCTTCAGATCAAATCGCATCCATGGCTTTAAACATAGAATGAGAGAATTCAGAAATGGGAAAGGTCTTCCTAACTGACTGACTCTCACTGCAAATTCAAGCTGCAGTCTTTGGAAAAGAAGAGCCTGACACAAAAGTGATGCCGTTCTTGATACTTATGCAAAGGTTTGCCTTATCTAGGCAAACTTTTATCATATGTGCGCATCAGAAGCAGAGTTTGACTGTGCCATAGTTTCATACTACCTTTAATCTCAACTAACATCTCTTCCATTCTCTTAGTGTTCAAGTCTAACTGCAAGCTAACTAAAGCATCTTAGCACTGCATCCATATTCGATATATTTAATCCACCAGGTCTTTAGACAAGTGTGAAAGGCATCTTTCCGGTGGCATTTCTGAAAGCTCCTCAAGAAATGAATTGCCTCTGTGTAGTCCCCAAAGATGCTGGTTAAAGCCAAGCATAGCTCATTTGCATCAGCCCTGTGATTAACGTTTCCTTCCTGTTTCAGCCTCAGACAGGAACTATAATTGTGTCTCACTTGACTGAGTTAATGGCTGTTGGACTTAACATGTTAAGGGAGGGAAGATCACTTCCACACTGGAATTTTTTGGTTTTGCATGCTCAGCAAAAATTTGGCTTGACTGCTCCCAAAATCTAATTTCTCTCCAGAATGATATGAGCAAGCAGTACCTAAACTTTCAGTGCCGCAATAAAAGCAGTAGAAAGAGTAAACACTGAATGCAGAAATAGTCACTTTTATTTTTTTCTGACAGACTTTTATGTGATGCAGCTGTAATAGATCTGATTTTACTTTTACATCTGTTTAACTACACCAAACTCAGTAACTCCCTATCTACCAGCGTATGATTTATGCCCGTGCAAATATGGAGAAAAGCGACAATTCTTAGAATACTGAGAAAGTGCTGCGGGCCAGCAAGCAAAATCTGCTTTTTCTCCAGGGCAGATAGAATTTTGCAAGTCTTGAGTCAATCCAACAGAGATTATTACGATTTCTCTTTGAACAGGACATGAATATCCCTTTGGAATTAAAATGAGCCACATTCGTGATGCTATGCCCCACGGATCAAAGCACTGTGCCTGCCCCAGGCAGCTTCAGGGCCCTTTCTTGACGGAGCAGCTGCCCCAGGAGCTGCAGTGCCAGTTTGTGCTGAAGCCCAGCCAGGTGGCCATGTGCCAGCAGCTGAACGGTACGTTGTCCTCTCACCCCAGCATCTCTCCCCACAGCCTGGCCACCTGGCTCTGCTGCAGAAGGCAAATGTGCCGGGCTGGGGGCGCAGTGGGAAGCGCAGAGGAGCGTGCAGGTGTATCTTCCAGCTGCTCAGGGGACTTTGCAGTGTGGCTCTCACTGATTTGAGTGTGCTGTTGTATATGTGTCATCTTTGTATGTTACATTTTGACAAGCTGCCTGTCAAGTGATTGTTCTAAAATCAGCAAAAGAAAGACAGATTCCCTCCCCTGCAATTTTTGTGAGTGTGTTAGCTGAGCTTCCCTCTGCTGCACTTGCTGTGGTCTGTAACAAGACAGGGTGGTTTCACAGTTCAAGAGTCAAGGCTTGACTTTGGCACAGAATTCCCATGCAACATTTGGCAGCATCCTTTATCCCAATAAGGTGCTTAGGACTACACACCTACCTCACTGGGACCTCACTGGGACCCTCAAGTGGCAAAGTCTAGGCAGGTACATGGGTGTCTAGATGAGGTGGGCGAATAGAATTTTATTTCAGTGCTCTTTGAGTAAAATAAAGAAAGCAATACTTTCTTGTGCCTTTGGCCTTGATGCTGCAAAAATACGAGCACCTGCTCTCCGTTTTGCACTTTGTTGTCAACAACATAATGACTGTGCTCTGCTCATGATAAAACAAATAAGGAGATAGTGACAGGATTGGGCAATTAGACTTAGGGCAAGGATACATTCCATGGTGTTTTTTTGTTGTTCTTAACACACTACCATACTCAGCTCAATTAGGAACTCTGCCCTACTTTACCATTAACAACCATATCATAGAATAAATAACATCCACACTGTTATCTTGGGTGCTCCCCAGTACCCAAGATCTCCCACAATATATGAATAGAATCCATTGGAAATGGTTTTAGAAATTAAATACAGTGAAGCTATACCAGAGTCCATTACAAATTATTCTGGAAATTGATTACATTTTATATAAATTAATTTCCTTTCCACATGCATTCATCCACCCCCTTCCCAGTAATTTGTATCATATATTACTTCATGGCATATTTTAAGAGTGAGGCAATCTTGCAAAGGGGTGTAATTAGGTTTACAGGCCCTGCTTTGGCAGCTGATGTTGACTGGCAAAAGAAAATAGAAATGCAAATCAGGCCTGTAGAGTTCTAATGCAGATGTGTTATCATCGGTGATGTGCAAGCTGCAGGAGTGGAGTGAGCCTGGCTAGGGGCAGCAGAAGCCTGGGGCAGCCTGCAGGTCATGCATAGGGACTGTGCTAAATGGGAGGAAGACTTTTAGTCCATTCACCTTTCCTTCTTTTCATCAGACAAAACCTGTTAAAGGAATGTATAGGTGTAACTGCTTGCAAAGCAGGTTATCTCACATACAGCACTGCTCCTTGTGCTTTTCCTAAGTGTTCTGGGTTTGGAAAATGGCAGAAATTACCTGCATGCAAGCCAAGGCTATGATCTAGCTTTTGATCTTCAAATCAGCAAGCCAAAATCTGTGTTGGGTACCCACTGAGCACACTGCTACATACAGAGCGCATTTACAGAGAGCAGTATCTGTAATCCCACACTTCACTGCCACATGCTGTGCTGTCCTCCATCCCATCATCTCCCTGCAGCAGGATGCCACTGTGCTGGACATGCTGTCCCTTCTGGAGGCAGCAAGGAGCAGCTGCCCAGCTCCACCACTGTGCACCATGGTTAGACAGCAGTGCAGGCGCTGACAGGCAGGCATGACTGACAGCTGGCCCTCATGTCAAGTATGTCGCTGTGTGGACACCAAATGTGGTGGTGTAATTGCATCAGCTGTCTTGGCAGGATGGTTTTAAAAGTACAGGAGAATTTTCTATGTGGAAGAAATTGAGTGTTTCTGTTGCCTCTGCTGTAACCTTTCAGCTTGTAACAGGAATGGTCACCTACCAGTTAAACATAGCCATTAAATTATGCTCATGAACACAATGTTAAATAGAGCTGAAGATTAGTTTGAAGGAGAGGAAATGCCATTTCCATGGCTAGGACACTAAGTATGAATAGACATTCCCTTCATATAAAATATGAGGAGAAGAGGTGGCTGCTGTGAGCTCTGACCAAAATTTTCCAGAAAACTGGTATTACTTTTTTTCTGATTATGGCTTAGAATAATCCACCAGAACAAGGCCATGAGGTTTTTGTATGGAAGTACATCTGCAGAGCAGTAATTGACATCTGTCTTGGCTGAGAGGAGTCTGGCTTTCTCATAGTATTATAACTTTGCACAGGTTCTAGGAAGGAAAGTGTGCATCCACCCCTTCTCATCTCCTCTTCAGCTTAAGACTTCTCAACACCCCAAAAAGGGGATATGAAAAGGAGGAGTTTTCCTGTTTTTCATGTTAATGTTTTTTTTCCATATTTTTCAATGTTAATTTTTAAAAACATTTTAGTGTTCTTTAACATGTTAATTTTAACAGAACATTTCATTGCCACACATCAGTTGCTGGTTTCTGCCCTGATATGCTGAAGAACACTGGCTAAGATTTCCTTCCTGTCCCAGGAGAGAGCTGCAGTTAGTTGCAGAGACCCCTTGTTCACATACTCAGTTTGAGACATGGCTGTTAAGAGGGGAACAAACAGTAAGAGACTGAGAAGAGTTCCTAATTTTAAGACTTTTTTTATTCACTTCTGCTATTCTTTGTTCTCCAAAATAACATCTTAATTTTTGCTTCCACTGAGATATATGGGGTTTACAGAAAAAAAACCCCGGTATGTATTTGCCATTGTGTCACTAGAATGCTGGCAAACCTTAGTTTGTGAAGCAAACCATATTCAGGTGTTAATATTCAGCTCATCTGAAGGAAAAAAAAATGTCATTTTGAAAGTTACAGGTCAATTGTGTTCTCCCAAAATATGATGTGTCAAGTAAAACCTTAGACGCTGCCAGACTTACATTTCTTGAAGCTTTGGACTACTTACAATGTATATCCTCATTATTTTTTATGAAAAGCATTTTTATTCAGGCTTTCACATTCATATGTTCACATTTTGAGTTAAACTGTAACTTTTCATCCTGTAAGCATCTAATGAAAAGACTTCCACCCATTCCCAAAGGGAGCATGATTTGGGATGGAATGATGTATACTGAAAATCACTCATTGAGCTGAAAACCCAATTCTAATAAAGTATAGGAGAAAATAAAATATTGGAGAGAAAAATCTGGTATTGTACCACAATCCTTAATTCTGCAAGCCTTGGTTCTGGCCTGCACAACAGCAGAAAGTAAAATGTTTGGAAGAACCAGCTGATTAAAATGTGTATGGGGTAGGCAAGCAACTAAATCAATGCTGAATGGCTTAGAAAACACCTCAGAAAGGAAAAATATATCAGAATAAGTTCTACCCGGTTAGCACTACTGTCATAAACAGTCCACACTCCTTTTCCCTTTAGCAGTAATCCATGCTGTTAAGATTTCACACTGGTCGATGCTGAGAAAGGTCATATTAAAAAAAAAACCTTTTTGTGTCCCTATAGCAGTATTTCCTTCTGTCCACACTCAAGAAACAAGAGTTTCAGTTAGTACACCTCTGTCGATACCTCATGAAATGTTACAATGAAGACAAGCAGAGCCCAGCAGTGTGCCAGCAGCATGCTGAAATGCCATCTGGAAGGCATTGATTAAAGGGCAGGCACCGTCCCTGGGCCATGGTTGGCAAATGCTTGGAGTGAGGACACTGATGATACTCCTGCGCTGTGGAGTATCAAGAGAGCAAAGGCAGTGGCTTTTCCTGGTCTGAAAATGCCTCAGCCCATTAGTTGATTCTCTGGTGTTACTTGTGGGGAGTCTCCCACACTGTCAGGAGAGCTAGGATGGCCCTGGACAGCATGCTGAGGTGGGGGCAGTGGATTTGCACCTGTAGGTGGAAAACAAGTTATTTAGCAGAGTACAGCTCTGTGTGAAGTCAGCAGGCTGAGGTTTGCTATCCTGCACTTGGTGAAGAGCAGATCCTGGTGATACTCTTCAGGGCATGAGTAAGGCAACACGTTCTACACACATACACACACAGAGGTATGTACATCGTGGATTAGGTTTAGCTGGATGCAAGGAGTTGGTTGAGTTCATGACATTTTTTTCCTTTGAAACCATAGCAACCACCAAAACCCAAATACTGGAACTAGAATTTAAATGCATTTCTTGTAATAAACACCTTTCTCTTTCCCCAGACTTAAGCCAAAAGTCATTTAAAAGGAAAAGATCTATCATAAATTGGGCTTTTTGGCGTGGCCCAGGCACTCACTTGGACAATGCACCCCTCTCCTCAACATCTGCTGCTCCTGGGAAGCTCTTTGGCCTCTTACTAACAACCATCTGTGAGGATGACAACCTGCCCAAACCCCTCTTGGTGAGTCCCAGGCTCAGGGTTGGGTCTTAGAGTGGTGGAATTTCTCTGTGTAGTAAATGAGGATATGTCTGTAAATGAGACATTGAAATTACCCAAGCAAAGAAACCAGAAAGGTTTCCATAGGAAAACCTCATTTTTGGTTCCCAGCAAGAACTTTGTTTTTTAACATCTACTGTGGTCAAGCCCTGTTAATAACAGCTTGAGAAATGTATATGATCAGTCTGCTGCTCTGGGCTATTTCTCCTTTATAGCCCATGCTATAAGGCTGGTTTCCTAATCCTCACTTGCACCATGTAAATAAATGCCACATTCACACATACTTTTTAAACCACTCCCAAGATTTCTGTAAAATCCCCACATCCACAAATGTCTCATCTACTGTCCCATATAGGCAGCCCACGCATGTATAAAAATGCCACTTGCCCATAGCTAGGCAATTGCAGAGCCTTTCTTGAAGTCATTCCAGGGCAGGCAACCACTCTTGAGTCCTCATTTTTGGTCTGACAGCACCACTGCAAAAATAGGTGGGAGTGTGGAGGCTACAGTAGCATCTTTTCATCCTGTCTTGAGGGAGCTCTGGTGCTGTGGGTGCCTCTCAAAACCAGCCTAGGATCATGAAAAAGGTTGTCCTAGAGCCCATTCCTAGGCATAATTAAGGCATGGATATGGCATTTTTGGTCATTAGAGGGCCATGTCAGTACAGCGAATAAAGTATTTATGGAGTGTGATTGAGCCCTGCAGGATTGGGCCCTTCATCCTAGCAACCTGACTTCAGGCTGGAAGAAATTGCCAGTACCCCACTGAAATCATGAGGTCACACCAGTTTACAGGAAGAGATGCTTTGTCTCCTAAGCTGGTGCTTGATGTGCTGCTTTATCACTGCCTGAATAGTGAATCATACCAGGATTTTTCAGGTCTATTAATAGTGTTTTCTTCTGAAGGAGAAGTGTGCATTTTCATTATTCAGGTTATTTAAATAAGCCTTTCAGAGATGGACTCTGTATGACTATGATCACCTGATCCCTCCTTCTCTCTGTTTAAGGGATGAGCCAATGCTGCATTTCAAAAATTTCTCCAAAACATAAATATTAGTAATTTTTTATTTGAAAAAATCCCTAGAGTTACTAAGCATAGAATCACAGCTTGGTAGACTTCGTGCTTTGAATTTTAAACATTGTGTTTATGCCACAAAATATAACTTACTTCTGAATTCATGCAGCATCTCCAGAGAATAGAATACTGGGGGACTGAATGGGATTTACCTGCAAGAGAAAGAAAATATCAGGGATGAATGCTGCAGGTTTGCTAGATAACTGCTTCAGAGCTTCCAGCTTGCTTTCACAGCTGAAGGGTTCTCTTTTAGCCATTGCCACACTGAGTTAACTTGCACCGTAGCTTCATTCATGTAATTTCATCTGGGTTTTTTGGTTTAATAGGGGCTTCCCATTTTTATCTCCTGAATACTTTGTTCAAAATGTGTTTTCAAAGACGTTGTTCATGTGCTAGCATCCTGTGCTGTGGGACTCAGCCTGTTTTGAGGGGAGAGCTCTAAATTCCTGCAAAGAGAATGAAAATGCTGCCATGAGTCCTGCTGCCATGAAGGTGCTCCTCCAAAGCATCTGCACTTACATGAATTCTTGATCTTGGATTTCTGCAAGAATGAGAAAGAAACATTAAAGAATACAAGCAAAAGTAATAACTTCCATTAGACTTACTTGCACTGCTATGTGTCAGGAAGACCTACCTTACAGCCCAGACTAGGATAGTCCCCAAACTCCATTCCTTACCCATTCCTGTTCACTAACTCAGTTTAGTGATGATAGACCTGTGTCCCAGGACCCCTGTGTCGCTTTTCTTGGCATCATTTTGGATAACTTGGTCCTCAGGCCACTATGTGCATACACATAATCCCAGAGACTGTCTGCACGTGTTTCCCCTTTCAAAGAGAAAAACCTGACAAATTCTACATTGCTTGGAGCAGGCCTGCAAGAGTTGACCTGCATGTCTGAGATATGGCCCACAGGAGACTGCAGAGAACTAAAGCATCTGGCAAACATCCTAAACATATTATCTTAGAAGAAGTTTCAGCAGTTCCTTTTCTTCTTGCTTCTATTATTTAACAGAAAAAACTCAGTCCCTCCTGTTATTTTAAAAGCTAGGCAGGAATCTGCTTGTTTTCCCTTCTCTGTAATAAGCTGCCTACTTGTTTAATCATATGCAGCCTCATTGGCTTCAGGGGAGCCACAAGGTGAGCTTTATCCCCCTTGGAATGACCTCCCAAGCAGGAGCACCTTGCCTCAGAGTTGGTTCTGCTGACAGCCCTGAGCTGCTTGCAGAGTCACCACTCACAAGCAGCAAAGGGGGTAAAAACCTGGCTCTGATCTGCTGTAGAAGTGCAGATATATATTAACAAACAAAGCACTTTCTAGTTTAGATAAAAATCTAATTTTTTTCAGATATCAGCAGTGAAACAGAATTCTGTCTGTGGTTGGTGAGAACAGTAACTACACAGTGATGAGCAGTGAGGGTCTCATATCTTCCTGCAAAGTAGTGTCCGGCTGAGGCCACTGTCAAATGCAAAGCTTTGAGTTAGACAGACCACTCTCCTTTTCCCATACTCAACAGCATTTATGTATTTAAATAACTTAGCTGAAACTTGCATAGGTCCTGGAAGGTCATGCAGAAAGTTAATGCTCAGCAGTGGCAGCACGGTATTTCTGAGGGGATATTTTCCAAAATGAGAGCCCCAAATCACAGCTTTGCTGGGCAGTTTGGCATGGTTTGGAGGGCAAGCCTTGACTTGTGTTTGATTTCTGATGTTTTTTAGGATTAAAAGGTTTTCAGCTGTGGCAAAAATGGCAAAACTACATTTTAGTGTCACTGGAGAATAAAATATATTTATGAGAAATCCTCTTTGCCTTTTTAATTTTTTTAGGACATGCTTTCCCTCCTTTACCAAGAGGGGCCTTCCACCAAGGGTATTTTCAGGCGCTCTGGAAGTGCAAAAACATTCAAAGAGCTAAAAGAGAAGCTTGATTCAGGCACTGAAGTGGACCTGGCCCGTGAATCCATATTTGTGACAGCATCTTTGTTTAAGGTATGTGAGGAACGTTCCTGACTCCCTTTTTGGGTGAGAGCAGCACAGATCCTGTGCACAGCCAGGGAGGGCTTTCCTCCAGAGACAAGCCCAAGGAGGAATTGGTGGATTTAATTAACAAGAATGGGCTGGCACATTAACCTTGTGAGGATCTCCAAAGGAGGCTACCACTGAACAAGGAGGAGGAAGAGGAGTAGCCAGTCTGTTTTACCGACAGCTTTCTTGAGGTCTCTGCTACAGCCTGGGCCTGTTACCCTCTGCATATGAAATACTAAAAGGCATGTTTGCAGACTTGTCTCCTTACACATCAGTACTGCCCTACACTGCAGATCCTAGTGAGTTTATAGTGTTGCCATAAATATTTGGATTATTTTTTCCATGCATTATCTTTTGTTACAGTCTTGTTTGTCAAAACCAATGCAAAAAAAACATCATAGCTTCCATCACCCTAGCTATTTTGGAAAGCTAGGATTTGGCCTTCTTCCTAAAATTCCTGCAACAATTTCCATGCCCATGGCTGAGGTGTTAGGAAAGAGGAATGGCAAGACCATCAGTGACTAGTTTAAGTACTCCATTGATTAGGGGAAGGAACGTAGGGGTGCCTTGGAGTGCTTATGATCTGGAGGTATTTGAGCTTGTCAGCTGAGGAGAAGAAACAGGGACTACAGATGAAGTTAAGTGACAAGTAAAAACAGACATTATGCAACATCAAAATAACTGGTCTCACTGCAGATTTTTTAGTTCAGCAATATCACATGAAGCATTCAAATAGCTCTGTTTTGACAGGAAAATTCAGAGAAAGGCTGGAAAATATTCACTTTAAGCATAATCTAAAGTGCCTCTATCTCTGATGATTTTCTTCTGATTTTGGTGGTTGTGTGTAACAATACTTGCCAGCGAGTGCTGTCCCATGGATACATCCTCTTGTATCTGTGTATCTTATTCCTACTCCCTCACTTGCCCCAGAACAGCTGCTCCTATGTTTTGTTCTTCTTTTCTCTTGATAAGGATTTTCTTCGCAACATCCCAGGCAGTATTTTATCATCCCAGCTGTGTGATAAGTGGGTCTCTGTGCTGGATCAAGGAAATAATGAAGAGAAGATAAAAAGCATCCAAAGGTAGTTATTTATTTTCTCTACATTCTTTTCCTATAAATGCACATCCCAGAGTGCAGAACCACAAATATTCAACTTACAATTATATTTTTTTAATACAAACATCTCTTTGACACCCTTCCTGATTTAATTAGTGGACCATGTTACCCTATTTCTACGTTTCCATTATCATGACTTGTGTTTATCTATGCAAAGTGGTCACTAATGTGAAGAATTCTATTTTTATATGTTTTCAGGTTAATTGAGCATCTCCCCAGAGCTAATGTTGTTCTCTTACGTTACATCTTTGGAGTGTTGCGTGGGATAGAAATGCGATCTGAAGAGAACCAGATGAATGCATTTAATCTGGCTGTCTGCATTGCACCTAGCCTGCTCTGGCCTCCTGTTTCCTCCACTCCTGATATAGAAAGTGAATATATTAAAAAGGTAAGAAACACTTTGGTGTAGCAGAGAACCATACCAGCCTTCATCCTATTCAATCAGGCCGTTGGCTACAAGCATGAGAACATTCAGTACCTCTTCAGATCAGGACTTGTCCTCTTGTCAGGGCTCCAGCAACATTCATCAATCCATTCCCATAATCTTCCTGGAAGAAGAGGAGAGAGGTCATAAAGCAATGCCCAGTGTATCAGCAACATGCTTCTCTGGTTGTGGTGACCTCAGAACAGAAGAGTAGAATGGAAAAGATGTTTACAAGGATGTATAACAGGACAGTTTATCAGGCCCAGGAGACTGAGAGAGTAGTTTCTGGCTGCCTTCATGGGTGACAGTTTGCTCCTGTTCTTCATCTGTATGGTGAGCTTGTCATGGGTTGAACAATAGAAGATCTGACATCTCTCTCCCATTGTTTTGTTGCAGATTTCTAGTCTGGTACAGTTCCTCATTGAGAATTGCTGCAGGATTTTTGGAGATGAAATTACCTCCCTCTTTGGAGAAATACTGATGACATGCAAGAGAGAGAACAGCTCAGGTAATGCAGACTAATGTTTTGATTCCATTAAGACAACTGAACTCAGCCAGGCAAAAGATTGGTATATTCCATGGAATAATGCTGTTCCTTCTTCATGTGGTGTTCCCAGATACTGCTGTTCTCTTTCCCTTCAATTCCCAAAAAAACTGGTTATAATCACTGATTCAACTTAACCATAGACCTGGATCATACCACAAAATGCTTTCACAAAGACTCTTGCTCCTATACGAGTCATCTGAACCATTACAGTTAAAAAAGGAGGGAGGGGAAACAAAGAAAATAAAATTTAAAAAAAAAATCTAGCCAAGGTTTCTTCACAAATCTAGAATTTTTGCATCAGCCTGTGTTTTCCCAAAATATCAGGAGGTCACTGATCAGCAATGGTCATAATACAGCTGTCACACCATTACATTAGGGTTGGAAGTGTCTATTCACTATCAAAAGAGAGAGTTTTTATGGGAAACTAAACTCTCCAGAGTTTTAATGGGATATCCAGGTTTTGCTTCTAGCACAAAAAAATCATGGAACTGGTGACTGAAAGTGTTTGGCAGACTAGTTGATAGAGCTTTCCAGATAATCATTAATGCTTTTTTTTCTCTTCAGCCCTCTGATTTTGCCTGGAGTTTTGTGTCTCTCCTTAAAGTATTTCTAAAGCAGCATTTTTGTAAAATAAATTTTATCACAGGTGGCCTGTACTGAAAGTGGTAATGGCACTTGTGTCAGCATGTCTGACTGAGTCAGTGTGTCTGTTTCAAGCTCCTCATGCTCTGCCTCCAGTGAGATTGGGTGAAATTTGGCCTGCCTCCTCCCCAAGAGTGAAGCACATGGGATCTGCTGTGCTGGGATGTGCTGGCAGTGAGAGCTCAGACCCACGACAGGTTACAGCAGCTGAACGAGCTTTTGGGCAGGCACTGAGGCATGGTGACTGCCTGTGCATGAACTGTGTCTGCTGCAAATGTGAGATAAGGCAGCTTAGCCTAACCCAGAGCAAAAGAGATTTCATGTAATTCCAGTTACTGCAGATACAGGATAGGGCCCAGGTGTGCACTGCTCAGTGCAAATGAGGTGTCTGTTTAAACTGAGCCTAAAACTTCATAGTGTTGCTCTTAAAAATATTGTATTTTCTGGAAGAAGCAGAGGTAAGAAGTATGCCCTGTTCTCTTCATTTGTCTGAAAGAAGGAAAGAAAAGCTAAATGTTGCTTTCAATATCCAATAATGAAAAGAAAAAATGAAATTAATTATCAATTCCATATGTATATATATAGGTATGTAAATTATTGTTTAAAGATGGATTAGCTACTATTACCATGTAAAAAAACCAAACCAAAACTACAGCAAAAACCCCCTAACCCTTATTTGTACCATTATCCTGACTTTATTTCTTGGCTGAACTGTAGCTTAGTACTCACCTCAGCTTCTCCAGTTCAAAATTAAGACAGTAATTTTTAATGAAATTATTAGTACTTTTGCTTGAGGTCTTTAAAAGGGCTCCTGAAAGTAAAGGATACTTGCCAGAAAGAAGCTGCTTGTCAAGAGGGTGGTTCAGTCACGATGTGTTAACACTTGGTTTGTCCTTGCAGATGTTGCTTCTCTCCATCAGAATGACTCTTCCTATGATAGCCTGGAAAATGAGGCAAATGATGAAGCTGACTCTTCCTCCAGTGACTGGATTAAAACCCGTGATCAGGATAACAGAAGCAGGGAGTCTGTCTTCACTCTGAGCGACGGCGATTCGGAGCAGACGGAGGTGGATGAAATCCAAAGCCAAACCAAACTGAAGCTGGCAATTTCTGCCGACGCGCACCTGAAGTTTTCCCTGCAAGAAAACTCAAATAAGTCTCCCTACTCCAGTGGTTTCCCCTCAGAAGCTACCTCGGGTGCTCCCAAGACTGTGAGGAGGCAGCGGCGCTCGTCTGAGCCTGCGGTTGGCCTCCAGACCTCCAGTTCCGCCCGCGCCGATGCTGGGCGTGAGAAGGCGACGCGCAAAGCCAGCTGTGACGTTGTCCTGTATCCTGAAGACGAGAAGTGTGGCTGCCAGCGCCGGTCGTTGCAGGTGGAAAGGCAAAAGCTCGGCAATCAGAGCTTGCTTATAGGGATTAACGTTGGTAAAAGTGACAACACAAACCAAAATGTTGAAAGGAAAGACCTGTCCCATTGTCTCCTGCCTCCAACGCCAGAGGGATTAAATATTTGCTCAGGATTTAGCTCTTTTAGCCAGTCTTCTTCTGGGACATCTCCATCTGTGTCATCAATTTGCTCCCTGGACAGTGCTTTCTCCCAGTTTTCAGACCAGGCTCTGTTTACCTTAAGTGAAACCTCCTGCCCTTTCGATAGCACTTTCCAGTCGCTAAAGAAACACGAGGATGCTGCTGCTGCTGTGGCTGATGACTGTTTGCTTCCGCTCACCACGGTGCCGCCATCTCCACAATCTACTGACACTGGGGCTGAGGAGAGCCTGGTGGGGCCCAGCAGCAGGTCAGCACCCCTGAAACCTACTGATGGAGCTGGCGGCTGTTGCATTAAGCCTGACCTTCAGCCATTGCCTCTGAAAGTCACCAGGGGAGACAGACTTCATGATCAAAGAGGAGGTCTAGAAAAGCATTACAGCAATCCAAAGTTTGAAGAGACTGACCAAAGCTTTTTGCAGAGGAATTTTAATGCTTAAAATAAACACCATAAAGAAAATGTCTTTGGTGTTGATGTGTGTTCATTTTAAGTTTAACATCCAGATTGTTCAAATTTAATTGAGCAGTCCCCAGACTCACGGGTTTTCTTTTTTTAGGAAACTGAGTAATGTTCCAATATAAAGCTTTGCAAGAACATTGTAGGAATAATAAAAATTGCTAAAAGCAAGCAAACAGAAGTCTCCTGAAAATCTGGAAGGGACCCAGGAGGTAACAAAGGCCAGTGTCCTGTTCCCTGACCCGCCAGGGCAGCGGGCTGCCTGCTGGGCCTCTCTCCTTGACCACTCAAGTGTTGAGCCTTGCAGATGTGAGTCCCAGTCCTTTGTGCTTTTGATGTAGCGTGCAAAGTCAGCATAGCTTCCATAACTGTGGTATTATACTACTGTTCTGAAACTGATAAATATTACCTTCATTGTCCTCCAAGGAGTAAGTGTGTTGTTTTCTGTATGTTTATGCAGTATGTTCGGTAGGTGTAGTTATTTCTTTTTCACTGCAAAAGAAAGTAAAAAGGAAGCCCAAAAATATGTAAAGGGAAATGCTGAATCTTGTAACTAACACCTTTGCAGCTCTGTGTTTCATTTATTGTGCTTTGTTGGCTGTTCTGTTCATGTTTAAGTTGTGAATAGTTTCTTAACATTGCTGTAAATGGCATTATGTATTATTGCAAGCAGAACACATGTAATTTTATTATGCAACATCTAAAACATAAAACCACAGAATGGATTGGGTTGGAAAGGACCTTAAAGATCATCCAGTTCCAACCCCCTGCCATAGAGACAGGGACACCTTCCACTAGACCAGGTTGCTCAGAGCCCCATCCAACCCAGCCTTGAATCCTTCCAGGGATGGAGCATCCATAACTTCTTGGGGCAGCCTGTTTTAGTGCTTTACCACTCTCTGAGTAGAATTTCTTTCTAATCTAATTCTGCTCTCTTTTAGTTTAAAAACTTTGCCCCTTGTCCTGCCACTATCTGCCCATATAAAAAAATCATCTCCCTTCCTTTTATAAGTCCCATTAAGGTAGTGGAAGGCCTAAATGAGGTCTTTTTGAAGCCTCTTCTTCTCCAGACTTAACAATCCCAGTCCTCAGCATTTCCACACAGAAGAGTTTTTCCATTCCTCTAATGTTCTTTATGGTCCTCCTCTGTACTAATTCCAGCAGGTCCATGTGCTCCCTGTGCTGGGACCCCAGAGCTGCTGCAGCCCTGCAGGTGGGGTCTGAGCAGAGCAGAGCAGAGGGGCAGAATCCCCCCTCCCTGGCCCTGCTGCCCACGCTGCTCTGGATGCAGCCCAGGACACCTTTGGCTTTCTGGGCTGGGAGTGCACACTGACAGCTCATGGCCAGCCTCTCACCCACCAGCACCACCAAGTCCTTCTCAGCACAGCTGCTCTCAGTGAGTTCTTCTCCCAGTCTGTACCTGTGTCTGGGCTTGTCCCACCCAGGGCAAGGTGCAGAACCTTGCACTTAGACTTGTTGAACTTCCTGAGGTTCTCATGGGCCCACTTCTCAAGTTTGTCCAGGTCCCTCTGGGTGGCATCCCATCCTTCTGTTGTGTCAACTGCACGTCTCAGCATCCTGTCACCTACCAACCTGCCGAGGGTGCACTCAGTCTGTCTGTGTCATACATCATATAATATATTAGAGTAATGCATTATCTAAATGCTTTGAGTTTGTATAATATATCCTGTTAAATTTTGCTATTATATATGTTCTGAAAAAAATGTGTATTTTTGTACTTGCAAAAAGACTGCTGCTAATTTTACAAGTTCTGTTTTGTTGTTACGGCACTGGTACTGATGTGTATGCATTCAATGCTATATATTAAATATTATTTGTTATGTCATAAATTCAGTTTATATTCTGTGGAATTTTTTTATATGTCAGTTCTACAAGCTATTGCTGAAGCAGCAGGAGTCCCAGTGATGCCACTGAAAATCCTGTGTGAGAAAGGACTGAAGCACCTCCACTTTGGGTGGCATCATTCCTATGGCATGCCGTCATCCTGTTGACTTTTGGAAATTCTAGTGATTCTCAAACAAGAATTCCTACCCTTTTTCTCTTCACCTAGTGGCAGGAGGATGTTCTCAGCTAATGGGATTCAGTCAACAATATGGAGGTGAAGAGAGATCTTGTGGGATGATACACAGAAGGATTGGGAGCAAGGAAAGGAGGGGAGTAAACCAATGAATGAGAGTAAATTAATATTACCAGGTTCTTCTTTTTCATATCCAGCTGTTTTAATAAAAACAGTAGTATGCAGAATCTGATCTGTAGCAGTCACCTTCCAAAGGTGAAATACTTTGTATACATTTTGAGACCTGTCATCTAACAGCCCTTCATATACGCCTCCTTCAAAACAAACAAGCAAAAAAAGACTGATTGACATGATGCTATTTTGAAATAAAACAGCTACTCTGCATTTCCATTTCTTTTCAAAGCAGTAAAAAGCGTATTGCTGTGCTGCCAAGATTACACTGAGTAGCAAATACTGATTCATTGCATCAATAATAAAGCTTTAGAAAATCTCTAGTCTCTGCAACATAAATATTCTGTCCTGCAAATGGTATCTTCCTACAAGACATTTATCTCTGCTGTCTGAAGAAAGAGTATATCAAAGTGTGCTTCGATGTGAAGTGAGTTATGTCTCTGGTTTTGAGATGTAGCTAATGCTAGAGTGCTTTCAGCTTTAAATGTATGGCAGACAAGCTGGATGTAGACCCAGCACAATCTGAAATGCACTCCTGTCTTACAAGACATACACCCTGCTGCTGCATGAGGTGTGTTCTGTGACAATCACAAAAAAGAGCACTAATGGGAAAAATCACTGCAGTGCCTCTGGGCTGTGAGCACACAGTGCAGGAATTAAACGCTGGGAAGATCCAAAATGGATTGTACTGAACCTTTTTAGAGTGTCAGATACCAATCTGAGCACTGCAGTAAGCATCCCCCTGAGTCTGCTGTGGATCTCCATGGGCTCTGCATCCCCATGGATCTACATGGGCTGCAGGGGCACAACTGCTTCACCAGAGTCTGCACCAGGGGCTGCAGGGGAATCTCAGCTCTGGTGCCTGGAGCACCTCCTGCCCCTCCTCTGCACCAAGCTGGGTGTCTGCAGACCTATCCCTTTCACACATTCTCACTCCTCTCTCCAGCTGCCATTGTGCATTTTTTTGCCTTTCTTAACTCTGTTATCCCAGCTGCTGGTCTCAGCCATGACCAGCAGCAGGACCATCTTGGAGTGGCTGGCATTGGCTTTGTCGGACACAGGAAGCTTCTGACAGCATTTCACACACCCACACCCACACCCATACACATTCTTCTGTAGCACCCCGCTACCAAAACCCTGCCATGTAAATCCAATACATTCTGTGACAAGGTGGTGGGGTAGGGGTGGCCTTGAGTGCTGAGCCCCTTCTTCTGCCCTGGCTCCAGCTGAGTGTCCCCCACACATCGTGCTCGCTGTGGGTCACCCGTCCCCATAAACTAGGGTGGCTGCTTTGGAGGAGCTGCTCAAGCTTTTGTGACGAATGGTAGGTGAGATGTTTCCCAAATGCTTACTTCTTTCCTGAAGTACCAAAACCTCACAGAAAAAAACCCCATAAAATAAAAAGATGACCGAACTAGGTGAAGAAACAGTGGCTATGACTTCTCATCTACTGCTGTCAAAGACAGAAAATGCAGCAAACGGACAAATTTCCTCACTACTTGGACTTCCTGTCCCACAGGGGTTCATGTTCTCATTGCTAATGAGCATCTCTGTTTCCCAAGTGCTAGCTATCATTCCTTTCAGGTAATTTTAGAGCTATTTGTTCTCAGCCTGCTTTGAAAGTTTTTTGAGTTTTTTTGGTTTGGTGGTTTTTTGGGATTTTTTTGTGGGCTCTTCCATTCTTCATCAATCTCATAAATGCTACTGCTTCATCCCTGCAAGATTTATCTCTCCAGCACAGCCCAATTCTGTGGGGTTGGACAGAACCCCACAGGTTGGACAGCTGTGAAGGAAGCAGGAAGACATGTACCATCTAATACTTGTCTAAACAAGTTTGTAGAGTTCAAGCAAAATAGACTGTAGATCCAGGAAATTAAGCATGACCTTTAACTGAAGGTGTCTATCCAAAACTCCAAATCACTGAATTTCTGTTAATAGCTGCTGTTTCACACCCTTTTTTGTTCTGGGGACCTGTGTGGTCCCAGAACCTGGTGATGGACACCTCTTTTCCAGCTCTGCTCATGAACTACTCTATCATATCTGGCAAACTTGTTTCCCTCTGCTGCCTGTTTTGCACCACTCACTTTCTGTGAGTATCTGGCGTGCTGGGTCAGGGTGGTCGTTGGTGTTTTCTGCCATTCTAAACCTAACTCTTCACCCACCCACAAGCAGACACGGGGCTGGGAGGTGGCTGGTGCTTTTGGGGACCACATGCAGAAGTGTAGTCACACATACATGCACACGGTGAGGTTGCCGTAACCCGTGCAAACAGAGTTGTTTTATGTCTTGCAGATCAGCCTGTGCATCTACAAAACGTCCCAAACAATCTCACTAAAAGCATTAAAAGCAGCTGACTCAGACAAATTAAATAACCATAATGTTTTGGAACAATGATTGCAGAATCGAGCGTCACAGAATATGCTGAGTAAGAAGGGACCCACAAGAATCAACGAGTCTAACTCTTGGCCCTGCACAGCACCATCTCCAAGAGTCACACCATGTGCCCAAGAGTAATGATGATGATGCCTTAAATAACCCAGAAAAGGTCTAAGAAACCAGCAAAAAGCTGTAGTCTTACATCCAGTCCTCAGGTTATCCCAGTAAACTTACGTATTAGGAGCAGACTATGATACATTTCCCCCCAGTATTTAGCATCTCTCCATATCCTGTGTTTGGAATACCTGAACTTGCCTAAGGACATAGCCTCAGTCACCTCTGGACATCCTCAATCATTCACATCTGGAAGGAGACCCAAGGCACCAGCCACACTGGGGGCTTTTCCTTCTCCAAGGCCTGGTGTGGGAAGAGGCTGAGCGAGGGGCTGCAGCTGCATCGAGCCTCATCTTTGGCATTTGTGCAAAGCCACTTCCCCATGGAAGAGTCCTTTGCTCCTGCCAAGTGTAAGAGGCACTGGAGCATGATGTCTGCTGGCTGAGCAGAGCCCCACATCAACATCAGGGGAAGGGAGCCAGCTCTCTCTCTCACAGACGTGCTCGCATGATTTCACTTGCTCCCAAGTTTAGTTACCGACGCCTCTGTATCGAGGCCACTGTCGAGCTAAACTGATTGACCCACTGGTGTCCAAAGGGGAGGATTCTTTGGTTAAAGGTGTTGAATATTTCTGTTAGGGCATGGTTACCACACAAGGCCTAAGGGTTTTGGACATCATTTGTGTTTTATTAATATGTACAATGCAGTCTGTAATGATCTTTCCTTGATAGTAGGTTTGCTCCAGGCCTTATTTTGTCGGTTTCATTGCGGCTTCACTGCAAATGTCAGCAGTTCCTCGAGGACAAGTACTCGGTAGCTGCTGCCAGTTTCATTAAGTTAAATATTTCAGAATTTAGCCATTCTGTGACCCTACATGGGAGAGGTGTTTCCAGTACAGAAATTATTTCTCTGCACTTGATTCTCATGTCACAAACTATTTCTGTCAATGTGCTACAAATCTGCTCTCAGGCTCAGCAATAATTCTGATATGACCATTGAAGGCAAGGCTCTCCTGCTCCTCCTCCTTCTCCTCCTCTTGGCTTTTAAGAGTTTCCACAGGGTTCCCTGCTGCCCCAAAGGCTGGGATGGGTGGGGGAGCTGGGTGGTCTGCCAGGGAGGGAGGGATAGGAATGTTCTGCCAGTGTGCACAGCTGAGGCTACACCATCCCAGCTGAGAGTTTAGACAATGAGCCCTGACAGTAAGGGCTGATAAACCCAGGGTGACCTGTCTTTAAAGGAAATGGAGAGTCACCCACTGGTGAGTGAAGCCCGGACTCGAGAGGATCCACACAGGAATCAAAGGGTAGTGCTGGTTGTAGGATCCCAGTCACACCAAGGGAGCCCCATCCCTTTCTCTTGGACTGTCAGAGGAGAGTGGTCAGCTCAGGGTTCCAGGGTGAGCCCCACCAAGGCATTAGTGGGACCCTGCAGGAGCACGAGGTTCATGGCGGGCTGTGGCGAAAGGCGTTTGAGGACGCTGGATGGACAACATCTTAGGAGATGTTCCAAGTGGGCTATAGCACTGTGCCAGGCTCATTATGGGATGTTCAGGGTAAGGATCAAAGGCAGGGACAGGCAGGGATTAAAATGGACCATAGAGGAACCAGCATGAAAAAATAGAGGGAAAAGGGGATCAAGGGGGCTGGTGTGGGTGGCAGCTGGCTGGTCAGAACACAGCCCTCTGAGCGAGCCCTGTACCTCATCGCCACAGCCTGACCTAGTCTTACTAAATATTCAGAGGTAATGATGTAACTTAATATATAATAATACTAATAATTACTGTTACATTCTCTCAGTTGACTTTGCAAGCACACCCTCTACTCTGAGTCCATGTGAGAGCACCAACACCAACCTTTAAGCCAGACAAATGGGCAGCTGCAACTGAGCCAAGTGCCAGCAGCTGAAATGAGACCACAAACCTCAGAGTCTGGAGGGTGCCAGTGCCAGCACCTGGGTGACCTGGGGCCAGCTCTGAGGCACACTGAGTAGCCAATGCCAGATACTGGAGAGACCCATTTTCCATGTGTGTGTGTATCCATCCCTGGTGGGATGTCAATCCTGATGAGCTGGAAGGAACAGTTCCTGTCACATGTGCATGCCAGCACCACGTTCAAGTGGCTGCCTCCCAACAGAGTGAGCAGCTTTGAACAA